ACCAACACAGATTCCCAAACGACAGTTCTGCCACATGGTTCGGTAAGGTGGGCAACCGATCGTGTGGAAATGCATGCCAACATCTCATCGAATATTTCATTAGTGCAGGTCGTACGATAAATGTCGAACAGATATTCTTTTTGTAATAGGAACATTTAATGTAATGAAACTCACAGGTCCGCAGCTGGACAAGGAAAGCGTTTGTAGACTGGCTTCAAGCCGAATCCTGCAATTATCAGAAACAGGTTCGTTGTTCAAGATACTCCAAAAAAAATCATAATTGCTTGGATCCTGAGAAACGTTTAAAATCAGTTGATGAATCAGGCTGCTGCATACTTTGTGCAGAGGGTCTTTCCCCCCAACATGAATGGCTGAGATCGGCAAGCGCCGGCTATGTACACATTCAGAAGCCTTTCGGCATACGGTAGATTTGCTGCAGGAAGATTCCTTGTGGCATGTTAGGAGGAAACGTATATAATTCATTATATAGCGAAAGGATGGTGAGATATTAAGCTGCTGCTTAGACAAGTCGTATCTGTACTTTCTCGTTTATGGATTTAACCAGCTTTGAATACTGAGTCTGATCACACGGTGTCACATGGCTCACGTTGGGGTTCGTAGCCTGATATCATTTCTGAAAAAGTTTTTACTAACAAATCAAGACTGATACAGAATTTCAGGCTTTTTAAGCATCTGTCGTGACTAGTCCTCTCACTAAATCAATTCCGAATCATCCCTGTATCCAACATCGTCTCAACTACAATACCAATCTGTTAATGAGAGTTTGTCTCCTGCTTACGGCGTTGGTGTGTTTTTCCGCAAATTGTCACATTGCTTTGGGGACGGTCAACCGTAACCTAAGGGCGTCTACGGACAGTGTTGAGGTTATGCCAACACACACCTTAACGACCATCAACGCTGAGAAAGAGAAGATTGATGAAGAGAGGATCGGAGGTGACCAGGTTTTAAATGGGGTAAAACAGGCTGTCAAGAAAATCCCCCTCCTCTTCCACAGTTTTCTTTTTTATTGCCGCATTCAGAACATGTCAATGTACAATCAAGTGCACTTCAGCATCTTCAGCAAAATGGAAAGGTGACTGCTGAAGAAGCTCAAAAATTAGAACAGGAGTGGTCAGCTGGACTGCCGTTCAACAAAGGATAGTTCTACGTTTAGAATTCTTGTAGTTGGCTCAAATTTACTCATAATGAATTCTAGTATTTCGCTGACAATTTTTGTGTTCCTTCTAGAATTTTTCTTTAAAAAAGTCGGATAATTTAATTGCTGTTGAAATTCTTAAATGCTCAGCGAAGGGTGATCTTACTGGAAAGTAGTGAGCTGGAATATGTTGGAAAAAGAGTTAGCCACCTTCGAAATTTGTGAAAAAATGAGGAAGGTGATTGTGATGTTGTGATGTTGTGTCATGCGTATCGATGGCGCGATGGACACGTAGGCTGCCAGCCCGAACACGATGCGTAATAAAGCGGTTGTTATTGTTGATAGTTAGTAGATACGTATTTAGATTCATATCTGTTTAACTTCGACTCTAAATCACCACTTTGTGTAACGGAGTACGTGCACTATCATGGTGTTCGACTGTTGTCCTCGGACTTACAGCGAAGGTTTGAGGGGCCATGGCAAACTATCATAACCATTTATCGTGAGTAGTTTTCGGGATTGATTGGGATATTGGATTTCCAAAAGAATGGTTCGCGGGACACGTGGCAGGCCTATTGCGACAAGATTATCTACATTTGCCCTTTGCACAGGGGAAGCTTTGACGTTTAAAGTTTGCATTGACAAACGAATAGAAATTAGTTGGTGCGCCACTACCAGGGAGCCTCCAGATAGATTAACACTTTTAGTTTGCACTGAATATGAAAACCCATTGATGTCTACTAATGCTTCTTAAACAAATACTATATATGTGTGTTATTCTCCTCGCGCTTTCTCAACCAACAATTCATAACTACCCATGAGTGAGGCATATGATGCAGCAAAAACAGTGGAAAAATCCTACACCCTGCGATTCGGATCTATATTTGGTACAAATACTTGGGAAATTACCGTCAAGTTTTGACTTAGTCCGCGCAATGAGTGAGGAAGAACAAGCGATTTCGCACGTTAAGATTTGACTAGCCATCTCCAGCGAAGCGGACATCCGCCTAAACGTCATTTCATGCTTGGCATAGCAAAGTTCATAGAATGACGCGGGCATCGGGATGACTACTAGCCATCTCAAGTTTCGGCTGTTAGCAGCGCCGTTCTTCTCGATAAGACAGTAGTAAGTGGTCGCTCTTTACTACTGGGTCCGCGCTGTGACGTGTAAATCTGACTCTTACCCATAAGAGATAATGGCAAAGGATGCGCCAGGTGGTAAGCGGAATCGGCATCTTTAAAGTATCCGAGCAATTACGTTGCTGGATGAAATTCTACGATATTTGACTTGAATACATTTTTGGAAAAGTTGAATCATAAAGAGAATTAATTTTTTTAAAAAATATTATCATTGTATGACGGTCTACAGTAAATCGGTACTTTTGACGTCGAACGCCACCTTGAGCTCTTAGTATGGGCAAAGAAAACTTTGCATCAATTTGAGTATATAACTTGGTACAAAGGTAAAGTTTTATTGTTTTTGAAACGATTTGGACAGAATGTGTACGTCTGAACGTTACAAAAAATACTTCTTGACAAGCCTTGTCGCTTAAAGCTCTACGAGAAATTAGATGCGCAATTCTGCATCAGTCTGTAAAAGTCTGACTTGAAGATGATGATTCGGAACGATATACAGAATCATTAGGGATCTCGGTTGGATGTCTTAAAAGCTTCAATGCGTATCACGATTTACTTCTGCGCCCGAAAAACATTAGTGAGTGTGATCCTTTTATCCCTAGCGATTTTGTTGAATTGCTTTCCTCCACCATTCCGTAAAAGCAAGTAAATTGAGCCGAAAATTTTGATCTTTTAGGCAATGGTATCTGGTCTCGCGAGTCGATACATCACCACAATGAACAGCTATTTGCTCTGGGGTCTCATATTCCCAAACCAAAAATGTCAAAACGTCGAAACAACTCGTTTTGTAGGAATATTTACTTTTATTTTATTGTGAATATCTGATACATTAAAAGCGTTGTTCATGACGTATATGTAACGTACTCCAGGTGGGTAGTTCCGCTTCATGTGCAAGACTACTACAACAAATCAAAGTTGGAGTTTCCGCAAATAAATTGCTCCAAAGTTTTGCTCTTAAGTTACCGAGTCAAAGAATTTAAAGTATCGAACTTCTCATTCCGCCATTTGTAAAAAGGGTCTACGATGGCGAGAGCCAACAACAGGAGCATAAAAACAACCGGAGTATAGACTGCAATCACCACGCCTCCCATTTGTTTAGTAAATGAAGAAAGAACTCAATCTTGTTGATTGCTGATGAAATAATAATCTTGTGCACCATCCTCAGCGAGAAAGCTACGAGCACGAATTTTCAAGCGACATCTGCGAAACAAACAAAATGTCGTGAAACTTTGTCGTTGCTGAAGTTATCACTGAAATTGCTATTGCCTGGCAGATCAAAAGAAATCAGCTAACTTTCCATCCATCAAACGGTTGGTAGAGCGGTAGACACTTCAACAAAATTGCAATCGCTAGATTAAATATAGAAGCGATCAAGCAATCTACAATTCCCAAAATTTGAACAGTAGCTTTACAACGCACTGAAGATTATAAGACGTTTGACTGAATAAAGCCTTGCCGACCCACCTAAATATTTTATTGTTTTTTAAGTGAATATAATTGGAGTATTTCCTCAAGCGTGTTGAAATTACACCGCTGAATGCATGTGGATGATTACGGATGCTGATTACGGACAT